AACTGCCAACCAAAAATCCCAAAAAAAAAAAATAAAAAAATTAAAATTATTTTTCAATTTCCCTTCTCCACCTTTTCTGTTTTTTATTTTTTATAATTCCAAAAATTATCTGTTTTCAAAAAAAAAAAAAAGGGGTTGTAGGGATTAAAATTCCCTGCAACCCCATATATGTATATATTTTCCTATTATTTAATTCAGGAAAAATCTCGTAAAATCGGGTCCGCGGCGCGGACCAGGCCGGCCGCGGACGCGGCCACATATGCGGCCGCCATCCGAGATCCGGCCCGCGGACGCGTCCGCGGGTGTTTCATAGCATATCCCTCATGATAAAAACTGGCCAAAAAAATATCCTGCTTTTTCTTTTTCTTTTTATTTTTAATATCTTGTTTAAATCGAATTTCGTTTTTCATTTTTTAAAAATCTTAAACGAAGTCAGATTCCAAAATAAAAGACATAGGATTGTAGGTTTTCCAAGCCCTACACTCCTATATTTGTTTTTTTTTTTCTTTACGTATTTTTAGGGGGGGGAAATATTAAAAAAACAGGCCGCGGACTGGGTCTCATCGGGCCTCATCACTTTTTCGACCGCAGTGGCCGAATTGCCCGTGGCCTAGGCCGGGGGTGTCACGTAGCCGCTGTGGTGCCTCTCAACTGCCCAGTCAAAGTGTGTACTCACCATCCTCCCCAGTCCCAACGAGCCCCAGGGCCAAGTCCCACTGCCAATTCACTCGGTCCGGTATTCTATCGCCTTTGTTTGTGCGACATCATCATCTGAACCGATGATCTGTATTGATCGCAGGGTGAAGGTTTCTTACGAAGAAAGAAACGCCATCAGTCAGAACATCCAGTGTTCCTATTGGTCACGATTCTGTAGGGAAAAGAGGCTCATAGGTTCTAGTCCCTAGCCGCTCCGAGGTCGGCTAGGGAATCAAACCCGTTTCGAATTGGGAAAAAAAAAAAAACAAAAAAAAAACTGACTGCGTGAAGAGGGGCCAAGGATTCCCTCGACTTGGGGCGGGCGAGAGCGAGCCTGTCCCTAGAAAATGCGTGTTTGGAAGTGCAGGCTGTGAACGTGGCGGACATGGTTAATTATCATACAGTTGCCGTGACTGTCAGGGCCAGATCCCACTGGCAAAGAGGATTGGAATAAGCCTCTGAATCTGGACGTGTTTGTGGAGAGGTGCAAACAGTTGTGATTGAACTGCTTTTCTGCATCTCTGTGTGGAACACGTCCAGATTCAGCCACTTACTCCAATCCTCTTGGCCCATGGGATCTGGCCCTCAGTCGTGCACGGGGATACTCCAGGGTCGAGGGGATGGGCATGTGCAGTCGGAGGGTGGACCACCTCCAGCAATAGTGGCCACAGATGCATGGCAAATGATCGAACACCATCTGTGTTCCTCGTCGAGAGCATGTCTTCCATCCCAAGGAGATTCTACCCAACCATCTCCAACAAGCCATGAGTGTCCTGTCCGATCTGGTGAGCAAGGACAAGAACAGCGGCACAAACCCTCGTGTGATCCCTCCTTGACATTCGAGCCCTCTCTCTCTCTCTCTCTCTCTCTCTCTCTCTCTCTCTCTCTCTCTCTC